CTTTGCTACTGCACAGCGTACAGCCATGGACCTGTCTGTAAGCAGAGAGCGAGCATTCTTGTAGATGTCTCTGTGACAAGAAGCTGCAGCTCCACCCAGTCCGCTGAGCACCTTCTGCAGACTCAGAAGGATCTCTCCTCTACCTTGTGACTACATCAATAAAATAGAAGAAAGTGACGTTACAAATCAATCCCTCCATTACTGTTTTTATACTGTAGTGTGCCTGCTCCTAGTTTCTTTACTCTCACGTGGCATACCTCTGCACTCTTTAATGCCTTTAAAAGATTATTGATGGTATCTGGAAAGGAGCTTCCCAGCATCCTCCCCATCTTCTCATAAAAAGCCCCAACACATGCCACTGCAGCACTGCAAGAAATGTGTAACAGTGCATTAACACAGCAATTCAGACAAAAATCGATGTGAAAATTCATAATTATGTAAATTAAAATATGCAATACCATGGAATACTTCATGAAAATTAAGAGTTATTAACTTCTATTTATTAGACTCCTCCTTATGTTGATAAATGGTGAGACTGGCTTACATACATGAATTAGCTTTAACCTCATCTACTGTAAAATGCTGAAGGGGAAGCACAGTGGCTTAGTATGCAAAAGGGAGGCCCTGGCACGTCTGTGTATTTCACCTACCCAGAAATGAGCAGGTATGAATGACTGATGGATAAAACCCTGCAGGGCACCACTGATGCAGCTTCATCCACTGTTAAATTCCATTAACGCCAGCAAGAAACACAGCAAATCTAGTCTTGTACGCTTAATCCCTCCTTTTAAACATAAAATGTCGTTCTACAGATTACCGTCCAGCTTAACTGCTAATACCCTTGAAGATGGGCCTACCGCACGTGCCTGGAGCTCTAAAAGCAGTTCTGAACAGCTTACATTTGAATTGAAATATGTGAAAGCTCAAGCAGACTATTAATATGCAGTTCCTGTATTTCTAAAAATAGCCAATAAAAATACACGCGGTAGTAAATAAATGGGAACTCACAGTTTTGTTGGCAAGTATGCTGGTGTGTCATCCTTGCTTTTGATGATGTCATTGCATTTATCAAGAGTCTGGAAAACAGTGAAGGTGTCACCAATGCTGTAGAGCGTAGCAAGGTTTTTGGCCAGGAGTTTTCTAGTCGGTGGTCCCGGAGCGCTGCTGATTAGTCCCGTCAGCTGTTCCACCAGCTTCTTCTGCTTCTCTTTCACATCCACCTGCATTCAAAAAAGAAGGGAAAAAAGCACAATTGAGTTACAAAACGCTTCCAATGATTCTGACTCAGAAAAGCTAAAAATCTGAATAGTCACCTTATTTGCTGCCACAAGCACTTTATCCAAAAACCGGAGCCATTCGAAGATGAAGACGGGCCTTTTTGCTTCGGTGATCTGGGCCAAAGCATCTTCATTAAGCAGGAGACTGTGCGCCAGCTCCATGGTGAGGAACCTTGAACACAGAGACGTGCGCCCTCCTCTCTGCAATGATTCATGAACACGTGACAAATTAGAGGAACAAAAAGCTTAATATACTGTTTCAACACAAGCAGTCGGTAGACCATATTTTGCTCAAACAGCTTCAGTGTGACTTGACACTGAATCTACAAGTCTTTTTGACTAAAGTGAAAGACTGGAGCACCACTTCTTTTAGAAATAATCTTATTTGGCATTTTGATGATAGCAGTAGGGAGCATTACTAGCACAAAATCTTCAATGGGTTTTCAGCTGGACTGAGTGATGGTATCAGTGTGGTAGACGTTTTCTCTAACAGTGATGAATTTGCATACCGGAGTGAGACAGAACAGCTGGTGAGGGGGTGCAAAGACAACAATTTGATCCTGAGCAAATCTAAAACTAAAGGCTGTTGACTTTAGAAGGGAAGAAGTCCAACATCTTCCTTTCATTGGCCAAGGTCTGTTGAAAGAGTGCTTCCTGGGCACCACTATATGCCAGTCTTTATCACAGAACTTAAACACCAGTCTCACTGTTAACAAAGCCCATCAGAGACTTTACTTCCTTTGGCAGAAGTAGAGATGTATGGAAAATATGGGTTCAGTTGGGAAGCTGCAAACCATTATCATTATCATTATTATTATTATTATCTCCAACCTGACTTGGTAAGGTAGCACAACCAATCAGGACAAACAGCAGCCTGGAAAAAGTTTGAGCCTCCAACATAACTGGTTGTAGTCTGTCTTTCATAGCTCCACACTATGCCACCCGAACCACCAGGAGAAGTAGAAGCATCATCACTGTCCCCTCCTACACATCTGTTTAATCATCTCCCACCAGGCAAAAGATACAGGGGTATTACTACAAGAACAGAGATAGTAGCTATCTCCAAGCTATTAGGCGCTTAAATATATGCTGAACCTTCTATCATTTTTTGTTTCAATTTACCTACAGCAAGTTGTAATCATAGAATCTGAATGTATCTATCCATTCGCTTCCGCTTATCCTTTTCAGGGTCGCGGGGGGCGCTGGAGCCTATCCCAGCTGTCATAGGGCGAGAGGCGGGGTACACCTTGACAGCTCGCCAGTCTGTCACACAGAGAGACAGGCAACCATTCGCACTCACATTCACTCCTGTATTCACATCTATGGGCAATTTAGATTAATCTATTAACCTTTCCCCAGAAACTGCATGTCTTTGGACGGTGGGAGGAAGCTGGAGTACCCGGAGGGAACCCACGCAAACAGGGGAGAACATGCAAACTCCACACATTGAACTCAGGACCTTCTTGCTGTGCGGCAACAGTGCTAACCACCGTGCCGCCCAGAATCTGAATATATTATGCAGCAAAACTTACACGTATGTATCATGCATTTGCAATATTAACTTAACCTCTTGCACTGTGGACTGTTCCCTTCTGCAATCTAGACTCTACGCCATTCACTAAAATCACTTTAAACATAGGTACACTGACACACTGCACTACTTTTATGGGTTGATGTGTTCAATACACGTGTACTTTGTATGTTGTGCTGTATTGTGTCATTTGATGTGTCTTGTTGTATATGCAGCTGTGTTGTTGAAATGGCTCCAATAAACTTGAGCTGTGGTGACTGTGAAGGCCACTCAGTCACCACATAACATGATCAAAATCATTTTCATGCTCATCTAAAAGTTCTATCAGCGCTTGCACCTCATTGCCACCATGGAAGAGATCATTCCTAGCAGGAAAGGAATACTGTATTATAGGATGAAGAGAAATACTGGGAACAGCTGTGTTGATCTGCAGGTTGGACATTCCTGCTCAGGAGACAAACTCTGTACCCAACAGTATGACAGGGCCTCTCAGTTGTCTAATTTAAATGCCTCTTCTCTAACAATACGCCTGTTCAGTCAATAAACTATCCCATCCATCAGCTGGACAGGTTATAACAGCCCTATAGATGCTAAGGACCAATTATCTCCATTGGAATGCCTTCGCTGTGTTCCGTACGTCAGTAATTTTAATGTCGGTGGCTGTAAAGTTATAATAGCCGCGCTCAAGTCTCGTATGGAATAACACAAAAAATATTAAGACTGCAGTGATGTGTTGACAGCTGTCATCCTTCAGCTGTTAATACGCGAGCTAGTTAGCAACATAAGCTAGCTGCTTCCTAAAAGGGGAAAGCTAAACTCCGCGAAACACTGACGACTAAATAGGACTTTGGCTCTTCGTCGTCATTTTTTACAACCTTGAGTTGTTCAAAATATACTCCTCATTGACAACAAACTCCCTGAAATACAGGACAAATACAGCAAAACTGTTCATCCTACCTGTGCTTCGGTGACCCAGGATGAATGACGACGACTATGGGCGGTGTCGCTGTGAAGTTTGTCCGATGTTAAACCAAACAAATAATTTAACTTAAATCATATTGCTTGTAGAATTTTGTGAAATAAACAAAAATAGACGTGACATTAATCGAGTCCGTTTCACAGGACAAACACGTTCTTTCGAAATATATGCCAAATGCAGCGGAACTGTAGACTTTGTGTGTACCTTGCAGCTACTCGGAACGTTTTCGCAAAGGAACAGAACACCACAGAAGAAAATACAAACGCACAAACCGAAGAATTTTTTTTTAGCTGTTTTTCTCAGTTTTTTCTCTTTTTAGTTTGTACAGAATGTCAGATGAAGAAGAGGACTATATGTCTGATGCATTTCTTAGCAAACTGTAAGTGTTTTGGCTCTGGTGTTTACTGTAAAATGTTCATTTTGACAACAATGTTCGGTCAGTGCTATGAAACTGTTGTTGAATCGAGTATATTCCGATATTGAGCTATCAAAACGAAGAAGCAGGGTGTCATTGCTCTCACAATAGTTATCGGTATTTTTTTACACCCTTATAACGTTTTTCTTTGTCCCTCCGACTGTCAGTCAAGATGTGAAACCGGGAGTCAGCATGGTGAGGCGGGTAAAAGAAGCAATGAAGAGGGAGGAGAAGCAAAAGGAAAAGAATATTAAGAACCGTCAGAAGAGCTACAAGGAGCAGGAGAGCGAAAGCCGAGAAGTGGCTTTACAGAGCTCCATCAGCAATGAAAACAAAGGGTTTGCACTTCTGCAGAAAATGGGCTACAAAGCTGGGCAAGGACTTGGGAAGCAGGGCAAGTTTGTTCTTCGCTAAATTGTGAATTTGCTTTGCATTTGTAGTGTGCACTGATGTTAATCTTTGTTACCCCTATAGGAGCAGGAAGAGTTGATCCAATCCCACTAAATATCAAAACAGGTAGGAAATGTTATTTTAAAATGAGTATTTAGTGATGTTGTGTGCAGCCTAGCTGAATGATTGCAGCACTTTTCTGTTTATAATCAGACAGAGGGGGTATTGGAATGGAAGAGATGAAGAAAAGAAAAGCTGAAGAGGAACTGGAGCATTATAGGCAGAAAGTACGAGCCAAACAACAGAATGAGACCAAATCTCTGGAAGATTTCAGGTGAAGCATGCAGCTACCTCTAAACGTTGTCCCCTCCCCCTCTTATAGTCTGTGTTTTTAACTTTTTCCTTTTTTTGCGTTTTCAGGTCAAGAGTAAGGACGGAAAGAGAGGAGCGAAAGATTGAAGGAGACCTCAGGAGGAGTCAGCGAGCTTGCGAACAGCTTGACAGTCAAAAGGTGGAAAGAATTATGAGTATAGCTCCTTATGGACTCCTCTGCACATCACAGTGCTAGTGTTAGTAGCAGGTCTCTCTCTAATCAGTCTCTTACCAGTGAAAGGAGGAAAATTATAGACCACTGACACAAAGTATCTCCTAGCTGAGGTTTCTTCTCTTTTCAGGGGATAACTGCTCCGAGAGAAGACTGGTACTGGCCTAAAGCAAACTCTGATGAAGAAGAGGACGATCTTAAAGAGGAGGATGAGGATGAGGATGAAGAGGAGGTTACAGAACTCACTGTAAGTATTTTATTTTAGACAATCAAAATTAATATATGTTATTCATAGTTGGGGTTTTTTGTTGTTGTTTTTTTTACCAAAACAGCAATTGTGGTACTGTCTGAGGAAGTGCAGAGCAGTATGTGTAGGACATGTATTAGGATAGCAGGATGATGTTGAGGTGTACAGTGGGAGTGACAGATTTGTTCAAGATGGGGGTGGGATTACATTAGCCCCCTCTTGTTTGCAATGTGATGGGCAGATGATGTCAGACAGGAGTCTCTGTGGGCTATGATGTTTGCAGATGACATTGAAATTTGTAGTAGAGAGCAGGTAGAAAAGCCTGGAGAGGTGAATGTCTCTCAAGAGAAATGAAAGCCAGTGGATGCAAGACAAAATACATGTGTGTGAATGAGAGGGAGATGGGTGAAAATGCAAGGAGTAGCTTTAGTGAAGATGGATGAGTTTAAACCATCAAAATCACCAGACAGTGCACAACAGAGGTGAAGAAGAGAGCATAGAGTGCATTGGATGGAGCTCAGTGCTGAGGTGTGTTTTCTAACAGAAGGATAGCAGCAAGAGTAAATGAAAGATGGTAGGAAGACCTGCTATGATGTGTTGAATTAATGAAAAGAAATATTTTCAATTACATTTTCATATCTAATACTCATATACTCTGGATTAGAAATGAGTACATCAGAGGGACAACTCAGGTTGAGCTGAAAAAACATGAATGCATCTTATAGGATTTAATGGCAAAATTATCCCAATGAATATTAAATGTGATATGTGGTTTTCTGTTGCAGTCTTTTGATAAACTACAAATTTTGACATCCTATTTGAGAGGAGTCCATTTTTATTGCATATGGTGTGGGACCACCTATAATGGTAGGTGTGATATCTTTAGTGCTGTAGCTTTTAAGGTTCTTTTGTATTGCCATTGCTCATACTGTGTATGTGTATATAATGTATTGATTTCTATTTTACAGATGAAGAGGACTTGTGCGCTAACTGTCCTGGGGATACAGCAGCAGACCATGAATAAAATGAATGAAAACCAGTCTGCACAAGTTTCCTGTAAAGAGAAAAGAAAAGTATAAATGTTTGATCATAAAAAATATTGTGTATATGTGAATGCACTTTGATATGTGAGTCAGGTTCATCAGACTACAAAAACAGCCAAGGCAATAAAGTGATCAGAAATTAAGTTCTTTAATCATCCAGTTTTAATCTGCTGTCTTTCATTGAAAGACCATCAAGTTTGTATTTGTTGTATACATTTCTGTTTTTTGGGTTGTTGTTTTTTTTTTTCATTTATAAATTAGGATGTCTTTCAATATTTATATTTTATAAAGATGAATACAAATTGTGTTACATATTTCAAGATCAATTGTATTTATCTGTCTTCATTAAACGTTTTAAGAATGCTACCATTTTGACTTTTTGTATATTGTATGATTTGTTGTGAGTTTATATCAGCCATACTTGTTTTCATTACTATTACTTAAAAAAATTCTGATGCGTAAATTGGGCAATAATAATAATAATTTACATGTCTGAAATACTTAAGGATTTTTGGTTTATATGTTATTGTCACTATGACATCGCCACATCTCTACGTTTGGCGTTTGACAAAAGAACTACAGTTCCCATGAAACTTAGCGATGGGAGCTGCTCTTAAACATCTTGGGACATGTAGTCATTCAATCCTAACATACGTAAGATTAAAAAAACACAAACAGGTAATCATATATTACTGACGTTAAAATTCCGAGCTTTAACATTAGTTAAACTACAAAAAACAATCTAAAACAACTATTGATAAAGCAAACGGCTATTCTCCCAAAACAGCATCATTACTACTCAGTTTTCCTGTGCTATAACTCACACTTTCTCTGTTGTTATACTTTATTTTGATATCTTCCACCCAACTCTGCTAGTTTCAGCGTACAGCTTCAAACCATTTCTTTTTTATAAAGACTTTACTGAACAAAACGTGGTTGATATGTCGGACATTACTTGAAAGCACCATGTGACGTTTACGGAGAAAACGAAACCTAAACTGACATGGAAAGGAAAAACGGAAACCATGTTTTATTTTGAGATTTGTACTTTGTTCTCTATTTTTATGAATTTTGTGTAAATATTCCGACTCTCGACAAACTTAGGATGGAAAACTACATAGCTAAGTTAAACGAGTATGCACAGAAACAGCGGCTGGCGCTCCAGTTTGTGGAGGTTGGAGCTGCTGGCCCTGACCACATTAAAACGTAAGTTGAACACAGATGGGATCTGCGACCTGGGATGTCGTACGAGACTGTATACGTGTGTATTTCTGTAGGACAGACTCTTCAGTGAAACCGTAGTAGGCTGTAGTAGTTCACTGTATTTTCGCTCACTCGCTACCAAATGCAGGTTTGTGTACAGTAAATGTATTTTGTACGTCGCTTTAGTCCATTTACTAAATGTCCACAGGTATGTTGATCCTGCAGTATCTTGCTAGTGTGTTGTTTCCACACATAAACTTTGTCACTCTGCATGCAATTGTAATATTTTGTTACAGTTGTTTGTTTACCTCCTACCGTACAAATAAAACATCCCAACCATATGTTAAAAACAGAATATTTTTGAGCAGCAAGTTCTGTGGTCCTGGGTACTTTTTTGCCACGTGTATATAAAGATACAGTAACAGTGTTCCAATTTTTAAAGCTTAAATTGGCCTCCAGTTGTAGAATGGCATATTTAATATTTTGTGTAGGGAAAGTACACTAGGAGTTTACTGTATTTGTCTGTGCAACAGATTTACTATCAGAGTTGTTCTGAATGGTAAAGCCTATCCTGATGCTGTTGGAAAGAACAAGAAGGAAGCCAAGCAGAACGCTGCTAAAAATGCCTTGGCGGGCTTGTTGGAGGAATCAGCTGATACTGTAAGATCATTGCACCATTGTATTCACTCACTGTATGTGTGGACATTTGTTTTAATCTGCTGTGTGTTTGTTGGTTACAAACAGACAGAAAATGCTGCAGAAGTTTCTAATGCATCAGTTCATCAGAGAAGTGGCAGTAACATCAAGTACACCTGCTGGCTTAATGAGTATGGTCAAAGGAACAGGGTGATTGTAAGGCCCGTGGAGGCTGCCAGACCTGGACCAAATAATGAAAATCAGTAAGTCTACATGATGCATCTAGTTTTGATTGTAGATGTGAATAATCTATTTGAAATCTATTTAATATTTTTCTTTTAATGTTAGATGGTGTAACTTTTTTGTTGGTGACAAGGAGTACCCTGCAGCTTCCGGGAAAACAAGAAGGGAAGCCAAGGAGGAAGCAGCCAAGCTTGTATATCACGATATATGTGGCACTTTAGAGGTAACGAATGGAACATACTGTTTTATACTGACTGACTTGACGTCAAAGAAAACTGGAGAAATGGTTTAAATATTTTCATGCATGTTCTAGTAGCATGTTGTTCACTTGTACTTTATATTCCAGACTGGAGATGAGAAAGACATTTTCACATCAAGTCAGCAAAAGGAGGAAACAAAACAAAATGTTGCAGATGTCTGGTGAGTTGAAACAGTGTTTCTTTTTGATGCTTTATCCCTGTGAAGCCTTTTTGTAAACTATGTATTGTTTAAAGTGGTTGAAGTTTCAGTTTTTATGTATTTTTTCTTTGATATTGTAGCCTTCAGATAAAGAGTTTGGCTGTGAAACCTGAAGATAAAAGGTTTACAGAGGTAAATTTCATAGGTCTTGTCAACCACTACTGTCAGAAAACATCCCGCTCCCACACGTTTATTGAAGAGGTTATATGTGGACTGCCTCATAATCGACAGTGAGTGTGACCGTCCCCTCACCAGCCATTATAGACAATTTCTGCTAAATGCTGGCTGATGTTTAACAGTTGGTAAATGATGTAAACCAGTTTTTCACTGTTTCACAACAGATTTTCCTACAAATTAGTCATAGATGGCAAGGAATACCCTGTTGGTGAGGGTAACAGCATCAAGGAAGCCAAACAAAATGCAGCTCGATTAGCCTGGTCTGCTCTTCAGGAACAGTCAGACTGGGACAGCAAGGTATTTAACATTTTCTGTTAAGTTAAGAGTACTTTATTGTCTGCCGTAGGGGGAAATCATCCTGGATCGGCCAGCTCCTGCATTGAAACCCCTCCCACACACACATAGTAATAAAAATCAAAGCATAAACCCTAGTTGGGCACACTTTTATAAATACAGACCTTAGAATGCATAAATAATTAAATAAATAGTTGAAGTAGTAGTAGAGTTGTCCTTCAGTCATGAGCTGTTCATTTATCAGTTTAACTGACAAAGGGACAATTGAATATTTGTAGCAGTTATACTGACACAAAGGGAAGTTGTACCTCCTAATAAAATATTGTGGCCTATCGAATCGTAAAAAAATATCTTGGGGAATGTTTATGTTCCTATAATTTTTCCTGCTTTCCTGATTGTTAGATTTCCAAACCTGCTGTCATAGCCTAAGAGACTCTGCAGTAGACCTAAAAACTGATATAATACCAAAACTAAAAACTCTTAAGTCTCCGGAGAAAATGAAGACACTGATAGATTCTCATACACACATGAATGTCCTATGGGTTCTTTTGATATTAAATACACTGAAGAAAAATATAAATGCAACACTTTTGTTTTTGCTCCTATTTTTCATGAGCTGAACTTAAAGATCTGAAACATTTTCTACATAGGACCCATTACTATCAAATATTGTTCACAAATCTGTCGAAATCTGTGTTAGTGAGAACTTCTCCTTTGCCACAGGTGTGGCATGTCAAGGTGCTAATCAGCAGTTATGGGTTAGTTATGGGTCCTTTGTGTATGTAGAAAATGTTTCAGATCTTTAAGTTCAGCTCGTGAAAAATAGGAGCAAAAACAGAAGTGTTGCGTTTATATTTTTCTTCAGTGTGTTTTGGCCATTTAGTAGATTGTTGATGTTGGTATTTCCACTATGCACACTATGGTACCACCCCAGGCTCACACTGTTCCCAAAGAATAGTGGGACCCTAGCCTGGTATTTTAGATGCTGTATACACTATTTACATCATTTTATTGCACACTTGAGTTTGAGTTCCCCTAGAAACAAAATTCAGGTGTCCATCTCTGTGTATGTTCACCTAATCCTTTTTGCATGTAATGGTTGAGTAAGCTCTTGGCCTCATCGTAACTTTTTATTATGGAGCACTCTGTCCTATTTGCATGTTAAAGTGTTTTCCTCAGATAATTCTTGTAGTATTCTGCCTATTTTGGAGATTTTTCATCAGTCAGATTTTGATGGCCTTACTCGAATAACTAAATCAGAATTTCTTCTGTATGATCATGCAGACTATAATGAGAAGGGTTGTGTTTAACAGCGCCACAACCTCCTTTGTGTTTTCAGATAACTATCAAGTCAGCTGTGTCAGATGATAGAGCACCGTCCAAGCTGTCCACACCACCAAGCACACTGTAAGGCTGAGCAGTACTGTAGATGGTAACATGTAATGTTGAAAATACCTATTAATTAGGCATTTTATTTGTCTCAAAGGGACTCTGGTTGTCCAAAATCAAGTAGCAGTACAACAACTACAAATGACTCAGTTGTTTTCTCCCAGTCATCTAACGCTTCCAAGGAGCAGGTTGGTTATATCCCATTCTTTCATCCACTCCTGCCATGGTTCACCAGTTTGTAATGTTGAGGCTGTTGCAGAAGTTTTTTTTTAAATTACCAGATTAAGTAAAATCAGTTTAAATGTCCGTTCTTGTTCTAAGATCATCGATCTAAAACACGGTGGTTCTTCAAGTCACAAAGGAGTAGAAATAAATCAGAATCATGACGACAACTGGTGAGGACAAACAGTTGTAACAAATAGTTTCAGTTTCAATGTTTGGATTCTCTTTTGTTGGTAAAGTTCTGAATATGTGGCTTGTCTTTATAGTTCTAAGACAAAGAGCTTGATGGTAAAGAAAGAAGCTGAAATCTTTACAGAAGAGAATTTCATAGGACTCATCAATCTCTACTGTCAGAAAACAAAGCATTGCCATGATTACGTCCTAGTGAGCAAATGCGGTCCACCACATAATCCTCAGTGAGTATGACTTAACATTTTTAACTAAATGCACCTTATATAGACTAAATCTATATATGTGTGTGTGTATATATAAAGCTATTTGTATGGCACAAAACTCTTAAACCTGTTGCTGCTGATATTGTCTCCCTACACAGATTCTTCTACAAAGTAGTCATTGACAACAAGGAATATCCTGTGGGTGAGGGTAAGACTATCAAAGAGGCCAAACAAAATGCTGCTCGGCAGGCGTGGTCTGCTCTTCAGGAACAATCAAATTGGGATAAGGTACTTAATGATCTTTACTTAATGATTTTTGTTTTTATCCACAACCTTGAAATCTTCCATATTCCTCATCCAACGCACTCTAGCTTTTTTAATTCCTTACTATAAAGGCGGTAAAAGGACTACACTACTAAACTTTTCTCAGCATCATTCAACAGAGATGCTTGTGAGAAGGCAAATGTCACACATTTCATTTATCTACCTGCTCCCTACTTGCTGCGTACACATGATGTGTGATGTCAGATTGCATTCACTTCTAATGAGTGGGCATCATTCTTACTGCTTCAAACCCACTTTATGCGGGAAGCTCGCCTAAACCAAATTGTATTTCCAATAGTGCAAACTAGTCTGAGGCGGATTATTTCCTGCTAGTTGTAAGGTCATAAAAGAGAGGACAGCCAAGTATTTTGTATTGTCTTTTCTCTCTAAGCTGCCTGAACTTCATGTGTTAAAACAGCTTGAAAAGTGTAAGCTCAGTGTTACAGACAGGGAAGCACAATTTAGGTAAAGGAACAATACTTCACAATCATAATCATAATTTTTATAAGTGTCCAAATATTGCTGTATCTCAAAGATTGGATGATGCAGAAATATGTTCCTAACAAAATCATCAGGTATTATTGTACTTAGTGAACTTTTTCTTTTTTTTTTTAAAAAAAAGCATGTGTTTCTAAAGCATACGACCAGATTAGCTAAATAGAGCAAACTAGTGTGTGAGAGCAAACCCCAAATAGAGCTCATAGATGTGGTTAGTTTTAAAATCACGGTTGTTTTCTAAACGTAGGTGCAGTAAGTTAATTTCAAAATCGAGCCCAAAAAAAAAAAGGCATGCTTTTTTTGTCTTTTCTTTTTTTAGCGTTATTGGTACAGTTATCAGTAAATGGCATTTGAAAACATTAGTAAATAAGTGTATGTGCTTGATTTAAATATTTTCTTCTCTATGTTTTGCGCTTTGAGAACAGACCTCACAGATTTACATATGCAACCAAAAACAGTCGCAAAAAGCAGACATGCTAAGAGATTAAATGTGAAAAATATCCAAAAAACGCCTGATGTGGGTTCCAGGATGCTAACATGCTTTTGAAGCCACTGCTGTACTTTACAGAAACCATACAGAAAGTGATTATTGCTGAATATTTTATGTTGTATATTAACCTCCTGGGACCTGGCATCCACATATGTGGACATCACATTTTGAGTTGTCTAGACCAAAATACAAAATTTTGCTCCACAAGGGCCTGATTTCCACTTACGAGGACATTATACTGCCACTGTTCTATCGAAATTTAAAGCGAATGTCCTCATATGTGGCTCTAAAAATCAGGAAAAAAATCATGTAATTCTTTGTTTTTGCATTTCCCAATCAGCCCAAATAGCAAGGAGAAATTAAAAATGCATGCCATGAAAGAGTTCAGGTGTTAGGAGGTTTAAATTATAGCTAAAACTAATGTTTTCAAAAACATTTAGAATTTTTCTGACAGTCTCATTTTAAACATACATGTATGTGGTTAATTTTGCAGCAGCCAGATGGACAAATAGTAAGGGCGTGTCGTGCATGTTAATAAATATCCCCTGCACTTACCAACAATCATATTATTTTACATTAAAGTGTCCTACTACCAAACAGTGTCTTAGTGTACAGCTGAACATTTTTTTGTTTCTTTCAGCTGGTTTCTTGGTCAGCTGTGTCAGATGATGTTACACCAGTCCAGCTGTCCAGCCCAGCGAGCACACTGTAAGGCAATGGAATGAGCAAGCACACCTAATACTTAAGTTTAATGTGGAGAAAACTGCATGAATGTATCTTGCTGTATTTTCAAAGGATCCCACATGATGCAAAATCAGAAAGAATACCAATGACTTCAAGTGACCCAGTTGTTTCCCCAAAGGTTCAGAGACCTTCCAAGGAACAGGTTTGTTATCCTCTGTGTCTTCTATATCTTTTGTTGTCATGTCCTTTGATCCTAACACGGTTATATTAGGATGCTTTTAATTATTTAGCTCCAATTCTACACTCCTAATTAGTAGTTTTCATAATTGCAATAACAACTTTTCAATAATAATGGGTGATGTATCTATAGTAATATCAAGGTATGAAAATAGTTATTTATTAAAAAATGTGATCAAGCAAACACTACATATTGGTGATCATGATCTATTAAAATGTGACAAATGCATTTGACAGTCTTCATTAATTAAATAAATGAAAAACTGATCTGTTTTTTTTTTCTCAGTGAAGGTTATTATAGTCAGCTTAAGCTAAACTAAAATTAGATGTGAAAAAACTGAAATAAAAAATTAAAACTAGACTTTTTTTTAAAGTGAAGTGAAATGATTTTGCACAGTTAGGGGAATAAAAAGCTAAACTAAAATACAAATATAGAGGAAATATCTTTAGTTTTAGTATTTAGTTTGTTTAATTCAATCTGCCTGATGAGTCAGTGGTGTACATGTTTATTGAGACCCTATATGTCTACAACACTGTGAGTCAACTGCTTTCTTTTTTTCTTGCAATACCTGATTTTCCTAAATCTTGCCTCTGACATATCCCCTTGATGCAATAATAATTAAAAAGAGTAAAACAAGAACATTCACTTTGGAAACTAACTGAAACTAAAGTGAATTAAAAACAAAGTCAAAATAAAAATTAAAAACTAACAAGAAAAAAACCCCTCACTAATAACTCCGGTCTCAACGAATGCATCCTAGATTTTGTATGTGTCAATTTCATTCATCACTTTCTTTTTTGCTGTTCGTTTTTTTGGTTTTTGTTTGTTTGTTTTTTAACATAAAACTCACAGTTGTATAAATAAGTAAAATTAGAAACAGAAGTTCAAGAAAAAATGCCAATGATAGGATTTGCCTGGGGAAGGTAAACCCATGTTGTTTAAACCTCTGACTCCTACAGTCTGATATTCTTTTCTAATTAAAATATAAATGTGGTAAAATCTGTATCACTGCAATACTGGCCGATGATTTTGCACACTGCAGATTTTCCTCACATCAAGCAGGTGGATAATTATGCAAATCTCCCATGAGTAATTTTTACTAAAGGGGATAATATTAGCTAGAAACGGGCTTAACTTTTTCCAAGAATTTGAAAAATAACTGACAATATTATTTTTTCTTGTGATGTTGTTCAAGTATATAATTTTTATCTGTAGGAACTAATCCAACAAGGCTCAACTATGTACTTGTACAAATGAAGGAAAAGTTTCCTTGGGATGATGTATGTGGAAAACATACATAAATATATACATTCTATACAGACAAGAAGTTAGCTAAGGCTCTGGGCAGAAATTGAGTGTGTATTTGTAAAATAGCACCTTACAAACTCTTACAAACTTTCAGTACCTGATGATTGACGTCAGTGTTTCAAACTACTATTAATAATACCATTTAATAACTAAGGTTGTCTTGTTTGTAACAAATGTTTTGCATCTAATTTAGCCTTATTTCCCCCTTTATTTCTCCCTTTTTAAGGATCAAAATCCTGATTTAAAACCAAAAATAAGGTAAGTCATACTTTGAAACCTGTTGTAAACATCGTTGTGTAATATTTCATCTGACATTATTGCTGATGATGATTTTCCTGGTTAGAATAGCAGCAAATTTCGGTAATGTTTCCAGACACAAAAAAAAGGTATGAAGGACTCACAGAAATTCAAATTCAAATTTTCTGAGTGATTTCAGTTTTTTGTTTAATACTGGAATTTCAATATGCTGACTTTGCATTGTTTTTAAGGATTTGCACAACTCTGATCTCAAAGAAAAGAGTAAAGAAAGAGGTTCCACCGAGAAAACATCAAGTCAAGTAGTGCAATCGAGGTATTAAAAAAACAACAACAACACTACAATGTACTGCTATCATGTTTTTACTACAGTTTATAGTTAAAGGAGAATTTTCTCTTTGTTAGCATTTGTCATTAATAGTAACACCTATGTTAATCTCTACAGGTTTACACTGGAATTCGACTCTATAGAGCGCCTTGGTAAAGGAGCCTTTGGTCGTGTTTATAAGGCAAAACATAAACTGCTGAAAAAATATTTTGCTATTAAAATTGTTCGCTGCAAAGAGTAAGTAAATATTTAATATAAATATTTAATTTTGTTTAAGTTTATGAAAAAGGTGAATTCCCACTAGCTCTGTACAGGAGATTTGAGAGAGATTAGCACACTAGTAGTATACAAGAGTATACAGTAAGGCGGGTGGCAAATTTACTGTCAAGTGTTTGGGGATATTTTGCATCTTTTGTTTTTCGGTGTACAAATACATTTAGGTTTTTGATGTTATGTTTTTACTTAACATCCATCTGCAGCCTTCACTTTAGCATCAGTAAATGAATTAAGGTGCCAAACTTCTCATCACATTACTGTTTTATGTGACTTTGTGCTACTGTCCGCTAATGCTAATGTACCTTTTTTTTTTAGCATTTGGAAACATTTTTTGATAGAAATAGTGGAGAGAGGGAATAATACAACGAGAGAGTAACGCAGCAAATGATCCGAGCAGGAATTTTGTTGTTTAAGGCATTTACCTTCATGTGGTATGCAATCTATCCATTCTAGTATCGGGTCACCCATTAGTATCTAATGTCTTCTTACTTCATAAAGTAATAAATAAACCAATGTTTCTTATACAAAACTGACACAGAATTTTTTTGGGTTAGTTGAAAGTGTACATTCCTCAGTTGCAGCTAGCTTGCTACTTAAGGTTAGTTCTGTGCGTTACATATGCATTTGATGGCTACATCATAGCACAATGACAGCCTAAAGCTATATGAAACTTAGAATTCTTCTGAAAGTAAGGGAGTTGTTATAAGTCTTCACAGAGATACTCTTACAGTATTGTTTCCTGATGTATTGAGTCCCTCAGCTGGAAAGTTACAGATGCTTTAAAAGAGATTTAAAGTTTATTGATATTTCTTGTACTTCTTATAATCAGAAAGTCTCTAAGGGAGGTGGTGGCATTATCAGACCTCCATCACACCAACATTGTTCGATACTACAAGTATTGGCTGGAGGATTCAGAATACCAGTGGGACAATACAACTGACAGTTACAGTACTTCCCAGTAAGTTTTGTTCAGTTATTTAGTATTGTGCAGTTTTGCATTTCTATGCTTAAAATGAAGACTTGATGCTAATTAGATTTTTAATCTTCCTTTTTTTTTAGGTCTAGTAGTAATTCATCACAAAAGTACCTCTATATTATGATGGAGTTATGTGATGACAAAACACTTAAAGACTGGATAACTGAGAAGAATGAGAAAACTCTTGAAGAGTCTATAAGAAGAGCAGAAAGTCTTCCCGTTATGCAGCAAATAGTCAGTGGAGTCGAGTGCATTCACTCCCACAGACTCATCCACAGGGACCTCAAGGTGAGACTCAAGATTACAGGATCACAAGCTTATGTTGCTGAGCTAGCTCACATTTAAGTTTAAGTTTTTCCATTTCCATATTCTTTAGTATCCTTTTTGTGTGTTTAAGGGAGATGCACACTGCTGCTATTAAAGTATTGGTGTGCTTCTTCTACTTCACAGTAAACCCAGTAGACAGGAAATGACTGAGTGTTAGGGCCACATTAAGAAAAACATTATTAGTGTTGATTTAGGGATTAAAGTCAACATTACAAGGTGGTGATAAGTATAAGAAGGTTGAAGAGATGGCGCAGCATCATGGAGAAATACTAGAAGCAGCCAGTGCTATGCCTCAGCCTCTTAGTAGATGCACATATGGTGTAAATTTGAAAGATTTCTCGTAGAATCACCTGAGCTTATTCACTCATTTCTGACTACACGAAGCACTAAATGCTCAATGTTTAAATTTTGCTTTTCCAATCGTCAGCCTACCAACATCATGTTTGGAAAAGATGGAAAAGTGAAGATTGGAGATTTTGGTCTAGTTGCTACTGAGACTGATGATAATGATGAAAATCAGAGTGAGAGAACAGAGAAAACAGGAACCAAGTCATATATGGCTCCCGAACAGGTGAGGTCTCTGTAAACAAATAACCTTTGATTTCTTTTCTGTGTTTTTTTTATTGTTGACAGTATTCAATGATAGCTATGTGCTCAACATTTTCTGAATCTATTCAAGTTTCATTACCTTCTGCAAATGTTCTTAAAAATGACAGAATCTCCTGTTCTTTGTGTTTTTTTTAAAGATGTTTACAAATGTAAAAGTTTTTTTCTTTCCATTATCACCACCTCATTCATTCGCTGTAAAACTCTTATTTCATTCCAGATAAAACCATCTCTTATGATACATGCTAAGATATCTTTTTTTAAGTGATTGCAGCCAGATGGTTTTTTTTTTCTGGTTTCTACTTTTAATTTTATATACCATGGTCTTAAAATTTAACTACAACTTGAAAAAAGTGAAATCCACATAGATTAGCTTACCACAACCATATCTTATAATTTAAACACTCACACTGAGTTAAGGGGTGTGTGACACATTATGTTTTTGTTTTATGACAGAGGACCAAAACAAGATATGGCTCCAAAGTGGACATATTTGCTCTGGGACTGATATATTTTGAACTCCTTTGGAAAATCTCTTCTGGGCATGAAAGAGGGAAAGTGAGTTGGTATAACAATTTAATAGTTTACATTTTAAAATGTTTACTGGTAGCTTCCTATCAGTGTTAATGTGTGAAGAATATAATGTATAGAATTGCATACTTAAGTTTTGCTTTTGTTTTTCTTGTGATGATTTTCTGTCAAGTCAAATAACATGTTTTTGTATCCTTTTATCATTATGTATACTAGATTTTTTCAGGTGTCAGAAAGCAAATTCTCCCTGAAGAATTTACACTGAAGTTTCCAGAAGAGGTATAATTCTTATTTTTTTCACTTTCACATTTATAAACCACTTTAAAACAACATAACAGCTGACCAAAGTGCTGTACAAAAAAAAAGATAAAATAGGAAAACAAGAATAAAAGAATAAATCGGCGAGCCTGCCTGACCTCCAGAGGCAGCTCATTCCACATTTTAGGTTCCAAAACTGAAAAGGCTTTGTCTCGAGATTTAGAAAATGTCTTCGGGACAGTCAAAAGCACCTGTTTAGCTGATCTAAGAGCATGTGATGGCATGTAAGGGTGAAGCAGCTCAGACAAATAAGAAGGGGAAAGACCATTAAGAGACTTAAAGACAAATCAAGGAATTTTAAAATGGATTTAAAACTTAACTGGAAGCCAATGAGGGACTCTAAAACTGGAGCCATGTGTTCTTGTTTGCTTGTACCAGTTAAAAATCGTGCAGCAGCACGAATTGGCTAATTATTTGTACTGATAACATATATTCATGTTGATACAGAAAGTAGCTGATTTGTTTTAATGTGTTTTGCAGAACCAGATAATCATGTCAATGCTGTGTCAGAGCCCAGAAAACCGACCTGAAGCAAGTACACTGAAGGCAGACCTGGAACAGTGGGCTCAAACATTAAATGCACAAAGTATGCACCTAGAAAATGTAACTGATTGATCAGCACTTACTAAGTGACATAAATATATCTTTTGTTGTGGGTTTTTTTTCATGTCATGTCTTTTTTCATGTTTCAATGTCTTTGATGTACTGTTTTTTATGGCTATAGCAGTTATGTTCAGTCACTTTTTACAGAAAGTAGGAATCATGTTCTGTGGAAATGTGATTAACATATTTAAACTGATGAATTATTACAGCCTTTGCTTTGTAATAAATAGACTGATGTGGAAAATAAAATAACGACCAACCCGGGTGTAATGGTCATTTGTCTGCTGTACAGTTTTTGTACATGTTTTACTGCATAATTTAGTGAGTGGGTCTTGACAGGTACTGATGATTTGCTTACACTTTACATTAAACATAAGTGCGTATGGGATTTTTTTTTATTACCACATGCTAAATGTGCACTCAGTTTGGGAAAAATCCCATTTTATGGAACAAGTTGTTGTTAACATTACAAGCTGGAAGACTATTTTCTTTGCAGTGCACTTTTGTTCCTTTTTATTGCTTCCCACAAACTAAAATTAGATATACCTTTCAGCATTACCAACACGGCCCACGAAGACTTATTGAAGAAAGAAACGAGCTTGGAGAGGGTCCTTTAAAAAAATGCAGAGGCTTTCTCTGCACACCGCAGGACAGCTGAATGTGCTGCGCATTTCCGTACACAGAACGTCGCTAATGTGCGACAAGTTGGGAGTTGGTTTCGACTGCTCTGTTACCACGTAGGGGAGGACGAAGAAACCGAAACTTACTGATGCCTAAAGTCAGCTGAATCGAAACAAACAATGGACATACTTGACCGCAGTCGGAGAAGGAAGATGGAAGTGGGGACGGGAGCAGTACTGTGAGCTTTGTGTGCTCTCACCGGGATTTTATTACATTTGCCGAGTCATTAATGATGGCAACTAAAAACTACGTAGCTGAACTAAACGAGTATGCGCAGAGAAATCGCTTGAAGCTGAAGTATGAGTACCTTGGCTCTGACGGCCCAGACCATAATAAAGTGTGAGTACATTTGTAGTACCTGAGAGCTTTGAGCATTATAATATATCGACGATAATAGAAGTATTGGGTGAGATGAGTGTTTGATAGCACGGTAAGTCAAAGCTAATCAGTACAGTTTAAGAAGAGGCCTTATGTATCTTATCGGAAAAATGCACAAGTAATGATGGTGACATCAAATACACAGACTGGTGTAGTCGTAAGCCTTTATTACCTTGCAGTTATATTTTAAATCAATTTTAATCTGTCTTTCAATTACAGGAAATGACAGCTCTTAGGCCCAAAGGCTCTATAATGGCGCTATGCTTTGCCAAATCTTTATTTCTAACTAGTTGAATAGTCATGTTATTATAAAGAGCCCAGCAAAGCACTGGAAGCCCGTTTTAAAACTGCACCTGCTTGTCTGTTGCTGTATATATAGGATGTCTTACTATATATATATATATATATTGCATATACACGCAATTTACATCTCAAGTTTCATCATAAAGAAATATTGCCTCCCAGAGGTTAAAAGTGGAAGGAGAAAATTCAAGTTATTTCTTGCAACCTAACCCTAACAGGTCATTTCCTCTACAGATTTAGCCAGAAGGCGATCATAGATGGTAAAGACTACCCCAAAGGTGTGGGGAAGACCAAAAAAGATGCAAAGCTTAAAGCAGCTGAAAATGCTCTGAGGTGCCTGCTGGATGGTAAATGTCAGGACTTGGTAAGTTTATTTAACTTTAGCATGTTGGAGAAAAATAAGTGGTGCATGTGCCCATGGTGTTTGTTTGTTTTTTAACCTTAACAGACAGAAAATGCAGCAGAAGCTTCTACACCAGCTGAGACAGATATCAACTTCATATGCTGGCTCAATGAATATGGCCAGAGAAACAGGTTGACTATAAAGCCTATGGAGACAACAAGGCCTGGACCAAATAATGCTATCCCGTAAGCCTCCTGACTGTTTCTCAATTATAGCTATTCTGTGCTCATGTAAAATAGATTAAATAAATGTTATTTTATGGCATTAGGTGGTGTAGCTTCATGGTTGGTGATAAGGAGTACCCAGCAGTCTCTGGGAAAACGGCAAGAGAAGCTAAGGAGGAAGCAGCCAAGCTCGTATATGACATAATAAATGGCAACAAAACTACAGATGTAAGTTATAGTTCAGTCCATGCCATTCTAGCTTGATCATAATCCTAAAACATAAACATTTTAATATAACCACATTAAAATTGTACTTTTTATATTTTTCAAGACTGCAGATGAGAATTACAGCGATGGATCAGGTCAACAAAGTGAGGACTTGAGTGAGAATGTTTTTGATCTGTGGTGAGTAATTAACAATGGTGATGTATTGTTTAATCGTGGCATCTGCATCATAGTAAAGTTTCTTACTGCTTGTTGTTTACAGTACTACAACAAAAAACCTGACCGTGAACTCTAAAGACCCCAGCTTAGTGGAGACAAATTACATAGGACTTATCAATGACTACTGTCAGCGAGAAAACTGCTCCTATACATTTGTTGATGAGAAAATATGTGGCACACCTGATAAACGTCAGTGAGTATGCCCGACGTACTGGACTCTGAATACACACTGCAGACACTGGATGCTCATGACTCATGTTCAGTAAACTGTTAATGTACTGTTCAACTTCTTTGCATCTCAGATTTTTCTACAAATTACGGATTAACAACAAGCAATATCCTGTGGGGAAGGGGAAGAGTATCAAAGAAGCCAAACAAAGTGCGGCGCGACAGGCCTGGTTTGTTCTTCAGGAGCAGTCAAGCAAGGTGCTTATATTTTTATCTTTACTTTGTCTCATCAGATATAGTTGATTAAAGGTTCCAACAGACAATCTGTTCTTTACAAGTAATTAAAAGGACCAGCTTGGAGGGATAAACTTACTGATATTACTAGATGTGGTTGTATGCCCTAGTTCTTAAAGAGTATACAGCTGATCAGAGCAAATTTTATCCTTTTAATCGATGTATGCTTTTTATTCTTTAAGGAGGATGCCAAAGATAGGAACGTGGGAAATGGCCAGAACGAGATGCCAACTGTATCAAGGTATTTTAAATAAGGAAAAAGAAACTGTATTAAGAAACTGCTATTCCAATTTAACTCATGTTTTTGTTGTATTATGTCCTGAGAGAAAGGTTTAAATCTCTAATCTAAAATTTAGACTATGGTCTTAAATCTCCCTCGCTGCTCCATGACAGACAGAGTCAAGCATTCTATATACTGTAAATCAAATCCCCATAATCAAGTACAAACATAAAGGTGAAAACAACAAGTCTATTTCTTGCCTCAAACGATTAATAGGACATTATTTAAAGTAAAAACAGACTTTCAAATTCAATGTTTTCACCAGTTGCTGAATATGAGGTGTAAAAGAGTCATCAATTGTAATTCCTAAGCATTTATATTGAGATACTTACTCAGTCTCAGAGCACTGAACTCTGCAACAGTTCTTGCTGTAGTGATATTATAACCCAGATTGTTTATATATAAAATTAATAACAGTAGCACTTGAACCTTCCATCAGTTCTTTTGTTACATTAAGGGAGGTAGCAAGTGATTTATTCTATCCTTACACACTGATAGTTGCAAGATAAATAACTTTGAAACAATTCAACAGTTTTTTCTAACAACCCTGCACTGACAAGTCTTTACTTTAAAATTTCATAATAAATGGTGTCATTTAGATCAATAAAAATAGCTTCACAATGTTGCCTGTTATGTACCAAAAAAGAAAAGTTTCAAATTAGCTGGACCTCTTGATTTCCTAGAACCTAAAAGTTTGAGGGTTTTGTGGACATCAGATGCTCGTTAAAGGAACCAAACACGTCAGCCTTGCCAGAAATGTGATGTTAGTCTTTGTCTATATGTGGGTGAGGTCTAGACCAGTCCTTCAAATTTTAAAAGGGTTATTGATATTATTTTAAATCTCCATTAGACAATGATCTGCTTTGGCTATTATTTTTTGTTTTTCAAGTTAACAGATCATGCAGGGAAATTAATTAAATTCAAGTCAGTGCCGTTTAAAAAAATCCAGTTGATTTTTTTCAATGCTTTTGTTTTAAAACCACCAAAACAAAGGAAAAGAAGAAAATGAAAGTCTAATCTTAACTTGAATCCATAACAAAGGCCATTCGAGATAACCACTCATTTAAACCAGTTTGTAACTTGTTTTATTCATACAAAACTTTATGAATCTACAAAGAAAAATACATTTGAAGAAAAGGGAAAAAACATACCAGCAAATAGCTAGTGGCGTTGCTCTCAGTAAGAATCAATATTATGTATATAATTAGTACCTCATCAAAAGAACAAATAGAAGAAGAAAAACAGAGCTCAGCTGATACCTGTAAATCTTAGCCTAATCACAGATGTTATCAGTATCTGCAGTTTTTCAAAAACCAAATTGGCCAATGAGAGTATCAGTTGGGCTCCAACATATTTGTTGTGAACATCTGCTTAGAAAAACTCTCGCGAGGTTATCAGTACCTCTCCCTGCCTTTTGTCCATTTTAATTTGCAATTCATTGACTGGGGTTCATTTGGAACTCACAGCAAACTTATAATTAAAGACACTTTGCATAGGGATAAAAAAACAAACTAATAAATCCTTCCTATGACTGACTATTTATTTTAAGAACTCTTAAACCTAGCTGAAAGGTAAACATAAGGAATAGATTACCATCACAAAGACTGATACAGAGCAACCTAAAGCTGGCTGGCTAAAAGTGCTTTGCTCTCAGAATGACTTGTAGTATTGAGTAGTTGAAAGGTTGATGCGCACTGGATCACAGTTTAAGGCATATATTTCTATTTGTGATGAGGACTAAGGACAAAGCACTTATTTTCCACAGTAAAACTGTCTCGTGAAAAAGAAAAGGAAAAGACAGAGTTTTTCTAACCCCATCTTTGCACTAAATCATTCACTGAAAAGCTTTTATAATGCTATGATCATAATATAACTTGGATTAAAATAATTCAATTGATGAAAGATTTGAAAGATTTTTCTGGACACTTTCAACAATTTTAAAGAGATTTAGAGAGTTGCAGTCAGTTCCAGTTGAAGTCCCTCATGAGAAATATTTCCTGAAGACTGAATTTAGATTAGCACTTCATTAAAGAGGTTAGCACACCGTTGACAGCTGAGGGTGTTTTATACTAATCAACAACTAATGTAGATTTTTTTAAACTATCAAAACCTGAAATTGCTTACTCAGAGACAGGCAAAATTTACATAGAATTTGTGTTTGACAAATATCGCCATCTCTATTGATAACACTATTGGTAATGGATTGGTTTAACAAGGTTTCAGGTTAAACATTAACATTTTGATTCAGTAGAATGTGTCCACACATGAAGCACACTTATTTGGAACATAAGCTATCATTCAAGTGAATAAAGCATAGGCCTTATCTAGATTTAAAATCCAGAGGAGTGTTAAACCTTTCACTAAAATTGGGGCCAGTATTTGGTTTAATATTCCCAGAAATAACAAGTAACAGAGCAGTTGAGCACCTCTGCTTAAAAGATTTTCTAGGACATTATTTTTTATTATTTTAATCTATGATAAAATCATGGCATCTGTGTGAAAGAAAAGTAAAATTCTCCTGAAGGACCATGACACAAATCATACGGGTCAAGTCCACAGAGGAGAATAGTATGGGGATAGGTAATAGAATAGACCTTTATTATCCCACGGATGATAAATTTGGGTGTTACACAGCTTTTATAGCAGGGGGAAATATAAAATATAAAAGGAAGACATAAAGTGGTCCTATATACATAATCAACTGAAGATCGTTTATAATGTACAGAAATATATATAGAAAAAATTGTACGGAGATATGTATAAAATGTGCAATGAACAAACAAGATGATGAGTAAGATAATCAAAAGGATGTTAAACTGTGTTATAGAGTCTGACAGCTGCTGGTAAGAATGACCTGCGGTAGCACTCATTCCTACACTGTGGGTGTAAAATTCTACTGCTGAATGACTCAATGGTCTGAGTCCCATTAGCTGTACATGATCCATTTCATACGGTATTACAATTTAAGAGCACTGAAAAGGAGTCTCAGCCTTTGTGATGGCGTTAACTACAGATCCACAAAAGTAGCAAATGCAGGTCAGAAAGGGGCAATATCATTTATGTATTCTTTCGTATTGGGTTTTGGGCCCGTCAGGCATTTTGCCAGTCCAATTCCAGAAGGTGAGGAGGCATCATGGCCAAAAAGTCACTGTTGCACAGACCCCTGTGGTCATTTATGCAAGTCCACCTTTTTTGAATGAGAAAGGAGGATTTATCCTTCCTTTAGAAGGAAACATCTGAATTGGAAACAGTTGTTTCTTATGGAGCTACAGCTTGACATAGCTTGAGGTCAACTTGGAGAACTTTTTAGCTTCAGCAGCAATCTAATGACCACAGTCTAATTATCAGTTCAATGCAGGATTTTTAATTATTAGTCAAGGGTAAGTGTCAAGTAACCGTGCCGTGCAGAAA